ATAATTTAAATTCTTTTATAGTATTTAGGAATGAATATTTTGACATATTTTTATATTTTCAGTTTTTATAGTAGTTTTTGTTTTTTCTTTTGTCAGTTTTATTAACTTTTATATTTATATAAATATTATAAATAATATATATTTTATTTTAATTAAAATTTTAATATTTCTGTATGACTTAAATTTACTTTAATTTCAGTTTTAGTAATTTTATAGTACTCCAACTTATTTATTTGTTTGGCTTTATTTCTGCTTTTTAAAATAGATTTAAATATAGTTGAGTTAATTTAGTTTAGTCTTGTTAACTAAAATTGTGGTTAATGGACTTATTATTATTATTATTACTTTTAATACGAAGGATGCATGTTCATGCTATTGTATAGACTGTAAGAACCATCTGGATTCATTCTGTTCTTTAGCTTTTTTATTTCAATCTAGTCATGTACTCACTGACCTCAGTGGGAATGAAGAAAAAACCTTTTCTATCATACTGTCTAACAAGCAGATCTCTATATACCAGTTTTTCTGTTCTGTTCTGTGTATTCCCATGACAAGAATGTGACCAAGACAACATTCTGTAACGTGCTGCTGCTTTCTCACACTCAAAAAAAGTACGATTATTGTGTTTGATATTACTGACAGGCAGTTTGTCAAAGAAGACATTCTGGGTATTGTAGCTTGGATTTGTTTCCTGGAAAGCACAAATATAGGTCAAAGTTTACACCTACAGAAATTAATGATAATTTTGAAAAATAATGTTTAAAATTTAGTGCTGTCAAATTGATTAATCGCCATTAATCGCATGCAACATAAAAGTTTGTGTTTACATAATATATGTGTGTGTACTTTGTATATTTATATGCATATAAATTAATAACACAAACATACATGTATATATTTAAGAAATATATGTAATATATATATATATATATATATATGTATAATATAAATCATATATAAATATGTATATATGTATACATGTAAATATTCCTTAAATATATATATGTATGTGTGTGTATTTATATATACATATAAACACACAAATATATTTTGTAAACACAAACTTTTATTTTGGATGCGATTAATCGCGATTAATCTATTTGACAGCACTAATATAATAATAAGTTATTGCTTAATGTAATGTATTCTTCTATATCCCATTTTATTTTGTATTTTTATTATTATTATTATCAGTAATACCAGTATTTCCTTTCTGCCACTCTAGTTGTATTACGTTTAGAGCAATCATTAGAATAAAGTACTTTAAAATTAAAAAGACAAAATAAACAGGCACCTTCAAAGACAGCCCGACGCTTTCCAGCAGGCCCTTTATGGGTCCAAGCGTTGCTTAGAGACGCGTTGTTGTCGCGCATCTTCACAGTGAATTTTCTGGAACCAAACCGAGAATTTTCATCACAAAATAGCGATGTTTGTCTCGTCTGTAATCCAGCTGTGAATGCGAACAAACTTACGAAGAGTCTTAAATACATCTGCACGGGATTGTTAGACAATATTCTGCCGTAAATATTGATATAGATAGCTTGGGTTACAAACACGCTAATCTGCTAACTAATTAGCCAGCTAGCCAAAGCGAGATTCGGACACGGTCGGCGTATCTTTGGAAAAATAAACTTTATTATTCGCTTTACGGCTTGTAAAGATGAACTAAATGCCCTCTATAGAGTTGTTCGAGCGCGTGTGATGGAGTAAAGCAGCAGTGTTTCAGCTGTCATCATCATCTAGATTCTAATCTAATCCCGCTGCGGTAAAACGCTCCGTGTTTAAACTCCTGCTGGTCTCGCAATGGACGCAGGAGGCATTTCTGATCTGGACCTGGAGAAATATGACGCTGATGAGCAAGTCAAGATCATCTGCCTCGGAGACAGCGCTGTGGGCAAATCCAAGTATGCTTAATGTCTTACTGCTCTCCTTGACTGTCAATGCGTTTGCGTTTTGATTTCTAAAGGCTTTGATCGTTTCTTTTCAGGCTTATGGAGAGATTCCTTATGGACGGATAGTATCCTTTGACTGTTATTTCATGTCAATCAGATCTGCATGCTACCTCTCTCTGTGTGCGACTGTTTGATTCATTCTGAGAGTTGTCAGGTTCTTAATGAAATGTGTCAGTCGGCCTCAGCAGCTCTCCACATACGCTCTGACTCTGTACAAGTACACCACCACCATCAATGGACAAACTGTCCTGGTTGGTAAGTTTGGCAAGAAAAACTGTCTTTTAGTGAACAATATTGTAACAGTTGGCTGTATTGCATATTTAGCTTTTTTTAATTTAAAGGGGTCATATGATGCAATTTCAATTTTTCCTTTCTCTTTGAAGTGTTACAATCTCTTGGATGCCAGGTGTTTTTGTTTTCATGTTAGAGAAGCAGTCATGCCTTTAATGCCATTAAGGCTTGTGTCTAACCTGAGCTCTGAAGCACTTGTTGATCTGCACGACAGATTTCTGGGATACTGCAGGGCAGGAACGTTTTCGAAGCATGCACCCGTCTTACTACCATAAAGCTCATGCCTGCGTCATGGTAAGAGACAGTCGCAAACCACTCAGTCTTATTTTAGTATTATTTATTTACTGTTATAAGTATCAATATATATTAATATTTTGAACTGGCTTTTATTAATATATATTTATTTTATATATATTTTATATAGATAGAATTTCGATTTTTAATTTTATGTGCTCTTCTAATTTATTTAGCTTTAAAAATATTTCTATATAGCTTTAATTTTATTTTAGTTTTAGTAATTGTAGCACGATAACTTAATTTTTTTTAAAGAAATATTGAAATCAAATAAAATGTTTAAGTTAGATTTTATTTGATTCCATCTTTATTTAAATTAACAACATTTATTTTTTATAGTTTTTATTTTTAGTTAATAATAACCACTGAAACTACTTGCATGAATACATCTTTATTTGTATGCTGCCGTAGTTGTAGATTAACAGCAACAACAACAACACACACACACCTCCTCTAATAATGTTGTGAAAAATAAAATTGTTGGAAAAAATTGGTGCAGGTTATTTATTTATTTTTTGATGAATGATTTTTATAAACAGTAGATCTCAAAAAGCTTCCAGAATTAATAAGATTGCTTTTGCCAGGTGTTTGATGTCCAGAGGAAAATCACATATAAGAATCTCCCAAATTGGTACAAAGAACTGCGGGAGTACCGTCCAGAGATTCCCTGTCTGGTGGTCGCTAACAAGATCGATGGTAAATTTGGCTTGTGAGATTACTGATAAGAGCTTTATTAGCCAGTGTTACGCTGCGCATGTCTCTTATCTTTTGTCTTTTCATGTGTTCTGCTCTTCAAAAGCTGACATTAAGGTCACCCAGAAGAGTTTCAACTTCGCTAAGAAACAAGGTCTGCCCTTCTACTTTGTATCTGCTGCTGATGGGACCAATGTGGTCAAGGTGAGGATGCAAAGCAGAGACAGATAGACAGATATCAGGAGAGCATTCAGTAAAAAGCTGCTATAGCTATTGAATTTTAAAAACAGATTGTTGTAGGGTGACGTGTGGATTAAATACAGTCTCCATTGTTTGCTGTGATGAATTTTGGATGAACTCAATTTTTTTTATTTTGCAATATTTTTCATATAAAATGTGTTTTCATCTGACATTCCGTAAATTCGCTAGTTAAGGTTTCTTTGATTATGTAAACTAATTGTGGTCAGGTTTTGCTATATTTTTTATATTAAAAATCAGTTTGTATTAATTCCCTTAATTTCCATACGCAAGTCAATTTTTTCCTCTTTACATTTTCATTTATGTTATTACATATTGGCAATTTTAAATGCATTCCTGTTCAGTTTTTTTTTTTTTGGTATGAAAGTAAATAGCACACAAAATTATTATTATTTTTTTATTTGGTCAAATTTTATTATTTTTTTTAATTCCGAGGAATGGATCAAAAAATGTGTGTTTTAGGGTCCAAAGAACTGTGAAGTTCTGATGTTGTGTAAATGTTCCACAGGTGTTTAAAGATGCCATTCAGATGGCTCTGTCCTACAAGAAGAACTCCAGTGACTTTATGGATGAAGTCATGAGGGAGCTAGAGGTGTGTGTGTGTTTTTGTTTGAATGTAAATGCTTACTCTTCATGATGCAGTTTACTGATTGATTTTATTCATGTTATTTTGCAGAACTTTGATTTAGAGAGTAAAGAAGAATCATCTGATAAAGAAGAGGAGACACAAGAGGGAAAACCAGACTCGGCGTGACCATGTCAAATTCTTCATCCTCTTCTTTCCTCATTCTCTGTCTCCGCTGCTTCTGCAGTTGTACTGATGAGCTCTTCAGATCATGGCTGTCCTCTCACCGTCCTGAGCAGCAGAACTCTACCTCACACCACTCAAAGTGTGTGTCTGTTCTTGGAATAAATTATGCTTCTGTGAATGTACAGCTGGCATTATCAGATGATTGACATGATAATGGAATACAATGCACTCTGAACTTCGATTTGATACAAATTGTGCAGCATGCATATTTAGTAAAAAAAAACAAAAAAACTTTTAGCACTCTGGTGGTATATGACGCTTTGTGCCGAATTTAACATGAAATATTTTTAATTGCAATTTTATATATCTTTGTTTTCAGATGGAAGTTTTAGTGAAATATTTATGAGCCACTCAGATTTTTTTTTTTTTTGGTGTACTATTTTACAACATTTGCACATTTCAAGTAACATTTTGTGATGCTCACTGGTATAAATAAAGTACTTGATCTTTGTACAAGGGTAGTTGATTATATTGTACAAGCTGAAATTATACATAGTTTTAAGATAAGCATTTTCTCTTATACATTTATATTACTATAAAATTGTATGTCCATCTCATTTGCCAACTAAACAGGTTTTTATATTAACGCGATTTATTGCAAGCACATCTGAGAACAGGATCAAAGTCTCCTCAGGAATGGATGAGAAGACAGCCGTGATGCAAACTCAGTGTAGCAGATGAATGTGTGTTTGTGTGGATGTGAAAACCAGAGCAAAGAAAGAGCAGGGACTGCTCCGGAGGATCACTGACCATTACAAACGGCCAGATTACAGTTCCAGCTGTGAAACACTATTAACTTCTATCTTAAAATGAGGATGAATGACTAACGTGTACTTTACCTGATAATGTGCAGCTTTCGATCTTTGAGCCACTCACTGGACATCTCAGACTCGGAGCGAGTCAAATAGACATTCAGGCCAAGTGCAGCTGTTTGATGAGCTGTCCAGTGAAACCGGGGGAAGTTCAGGAGTGAATCTCATGAAACATCAAGAGCATGTCTATCATGTTACAGCAAAATCAACACCATCCCTTTAATTTTTTTGTTTAATTACTGATTGTAAATTATTTTAATTTGAAAGAATTTGTTCTCTAACTAATGTAATTTATGCTGATTTTAAGTCATCAGTTGTGTTTGGACTGATGTTTGTCATGCGTGGTTGTCATAAAATGCTAAAAATAGACGTTTAATCAATTTCCTTTTGCAAAAATATATTTGAAGTAAAATATGACCCAGATATTTCTTCATGAGTTTCTCCTTTAGAGACCAGAAATAAGCATTACTGTAAAGAGCATTTATTCATATTGCACAAACTGTGAAGGGCTTTTTTTTATTTATTTTTTTAGATTATTGCATTTGGTTTGTGTTTTGTGATGTTTTGCACAAGTGCTTTATATATCAAACATACATCCATGTTGGTGAAATGAAATAGAACCAGCTTTGTACTGCACACGAATGTGTGTGTAAATGAACTGGATACAACTTGTATGTCAGAAAAAATGTACTTATTTCTGAAGCCTCTGGTGTTTTTATGTACTGTCATTTTCTTGTTCTGTGAGCAGACTGTGGTTCATATTAAAGAATTATAAAGAAGCAAGATCTTCCATATGACATCTTTCAGCAATAATCAGCACTTTCCACGAATTGACCATAATTGACAAATGAATCTAGCTTTTAACAGAAAATTATCAATGCATGTAAAGTTGCTATATTTAATATCAAACATCAACCATTCCAACACTCCTCTCAAACTTAAGTGTATTGTAAAAGTATCTTGTTGCAAGAAAAACACAATATTTACATACAAAAATTGTAAGATACTTTTCTTTACGTGAAAAGTCACTTAAAAATAAGCATTCAAGCCAAAACTAGGGAGACTAGAAATCTGCAACCCTGTTTCCCATACTGGTGATTTTATTTTTTAATACTATACATTTTATGATTTTTTTATATTTAATATTCATCAAACCTATAAAACTAAATGCTATATGAGCAGTTTTATTTGACATTTATTGGAGGTGGACAAACATTTTCTGAAGGTTAAGCATTCTTTATTCACTCAGTTACAACATGAAAACCTTTTCAGAGTTTCAACCCTTGTTTTGCACCTCTTTGTGGAAAGTGCTTCTCTCTCTCTTTGTGAAGTAGTACCTGAGTGAAATAAACCTCCATCACAACCTCAACTGAGCAATCAACCCACCAGAAAACAATGCTCATTAAAGCAGTATATACTGCATTTCTTGCAATTTTTATTGTGCTTTTGTTGGTCAGAAAACAAGATGGACAACCCTATAGAACATACTGCAGTCATGTAAATGATGTGTTTTATTTCATGTTTCGTCCTGCCATTGGTTGAGTAAAATTACAAAGAAATCAACTGCAATTTTCATTCTGGTTAAATATGCAGAGCCCCTGATGTCTGCGCTACATTGGGAGAGAGTAAAAGGGCAAAAGTCAGGGAGAGTGTCCACCGAATGTGCAAGTCAGTCACTAATAGACTAACTGGAATTCAAGCCAGACAGAACAGATTCTTAAATCCAGACATGAATGTGCCCATGAAACTCAATAAATTGGGCCACGTATGGAAATCATTGAAAAACATAAAAATGTATATAAACTCATATATTTGTGGAAACAGATAGCAAAAGAAAACAGGAGCTGCGTGTAGTCTAAAAATTTCCAGGAGGTGGCACCAAAGTGCTGGTTCAAACAGCGTTTAGTTCCAAAAAACCTCAAAGAAAAGCTAAAAACCAGAATCACTTTTTGGCACATTTGTTAATTTTTCTTCATGCCCTTTCATCTCCTGCTAGAACAACTATAATGTAATGCACATGACATAAAATCAATATTATGAAAGATGAAAGTGATGTGTACAGAATGAAAATCACAGCTCGCCAGTTATCAGAAGATGACAGGAGGAAAACTGTGGTACATATGGCTCAGAAATGCAGTTCCAAGTCTCCAGAGTGGGACGACATTCACAAAAACATACGCACGCTTGCTTTTGTTCTTCTGGATGAGCTGAAGGTAGGAACATGATTTTCAGTGGGATGAGAAATGAAAAAGGTCTAAATCGAAAATTGAGCGTTTCTGTAACAAAGTGGATTTAACAAGTCGAACATGGAATGAAGGAATCTGTGTGTGGTAGGCTCAGGGCTCATCTGCATCCGAGGATATAGTAAGTAATTCAGTTATCTTGGGGCCCGACTCCAAACGGCCCCTCAACACCTTCATTCAAGCCCTTGTAAAGTCAGACAGACTGACGGTTTAACGCAAGGATCAGGATCTCTGTTAATGAGCTAAATAGTTACTAGTCTTCATCTAGGATGGGAGAATAAACTTTAATCGGAGTAACCACCATATTTACAGAACAGAAATGAGGTTATAAAAGTACAGTCTGCTCAATCTTGTACTGTCTTAAGGACATAGGCCACATCTGATTTTCAAAAGCTTTATTTTATGCTGGAAATTTGTATATTTTAAATGTCAATCAGAGGAAAAGAAATATAAAGATAGAGTCACTATCAACACCATATCAGTTATCAGATTTTTTTAATTGATTAGTATCAATCAATATTAATAGTCAGTAAAACTTTAATTAGTTTGAAGTCTTTTATGGTCACTAAAGCTGCATTTTTAGTATCAAAACACAGTAAAAACTTAATAAATTAATTTGATTACAATTTAAAATAAAATTTTTCTATTTGAATATATTTTAAAATTTAATTGTTTTTGTAAAATTATAAATGTATTCAATGTGCACTTTTGATCAAATGCATTTATGCTAAATAAAATATTTTCTTTCCAAAAAAATGAATACATAAAAATAAAAAATTACTGACTTTCAAAATTTTGAATGCTAGCGTGTGTGTGTCTGTATATATATATATATATATGATTATCACAAAATTAAAAAATCTTTAGAAAATTCCTAAATTAATATCCATTTTTCATTCTGTACATAGTGTTGTAATGCCTAAAATCACAAATGGTTTTGTATCCCTAGTAAATTCAGGTTTAGAATGCCACTCCCATATTTAACAGTGTGTAAAGAACAGCATTAAGAAGAGACATCCGTTTTACCTGTAGTGTGAACAGGCTGTACTTCAATCCCTCACAGCTTCTTTTCGTTCATGTCAAGATAAATATGGCATCTACTCCGACTCAACGCTGCTCCTACAGAAGGGGTTTTTCCTACACAGTGTTGCTGGCATGCTCATCTGATGATGCACTGAGAAGCTCTCGTCATCCTTGGCTGTTTGCGTGCGGCCTGATTTCAGATGCAAGAGAAGAGATGACCAATGGTGAAGAATTAACTCTTTCTGCTGTCACATCC